TCTCTCTCTCTCTCTCTCTCTCTCTCTCTCTCTATCTATCTATCTATCTATCTATCTATCTATCTATCTCTATCCATCTCTGCATGTGCCCTCTGCACCTGCGTCACATTGGTATCGGAGTGGAGCTTCGAACCTCTGCTCCCTCCCTCCCTCCCTTCCTTCTCTCGCTATCGGGCGCCCTCGGATAGCTTTCTCCAAGTTCATTTTCGCAGCTGCACCTGGTCCGTCAATGCAACCAGGCACATTCTTCATCCAAGTTGGCACCTTTCTCCTAGGCGAACGGTGCTGTTCCACCTGCTGCTGTCTCCTACAGATGGCGACGCCCATCTCCTGCCACTCGTGCTCCAGCTTGACCTTCGTCTGCCCAGGAAGTGCTTGGAGAGCGGCCATCTTGGCCGCTGGCGGCCCTGTGAGAAGTTCATTGCACCTTACTTCGAGGAAGGAGCAGCATAACAAGGTTTCTGTAGGTGAACCTGCGGAAGGATCATTGACACATGGACGGGCGAACTCCCGCCACGTCAGCCTGTCCCTCCGCCTCCTGCTCCCCCCCTTTCCCACCCCCTCTCCCCCAACTCGTGATTCCCCGATCTCATTTCCCCCCCTCTACGTTCTTACCCCCCCTACCTCGCTACCCCGACTCCCCTCCGATACACCCCACCCGACTTTCCCAAACCCAGCACAGCTGCGCCCTGATCCACACTTCCCACCTCGATCCCGACACCCCCCCCACACTGTGCGCACCCCGCTCCATCTCCCGATGCCCTCCAATCCCGCTCTCCACTTCTCGTCCCCCGACTTCTCTCTTGATCCCGATTCCGCCCTTCCCCCACAGCGACCGTCCCCATCTCGACTCCCCCTCTCCTGCCCACTCCCCCTCCCGATCCCAACCCAACTTCTCCTCGCCCACCTCCTCCCCCTTCGCCGATCCCGATCCCGGCTTTGCCCGCTTTCCATTCCAACCCTGCCAGACCATGATCGCTCCTTTCCCCGCCCCAATTCCGCTCCCGATTCCGACCATTCCTTTCCCCGCATCAATTCCGCTTCCCTCCTCCTTCCCCAACTGCGCCCCGACCCTCTAATCCCGATCCCGATCCCGTCTCCCCCCACCTTCTCCCTTCCCCCTCCTGCTACCCCCGCCCTGATCCCCCCCCTCCAATCGGCGCCCCCAAACCAGCTGCCGATCCCAAATCCCCCTCCACGTCTCTAACCCCGCTCCTGCCCATCCTCCTTCCTGACTCCCCACCCCGCTACCCTTCCTCCTCTCCCCGCTTCCGCACCTCCCTGCGCCCAATTCCGCTTCCGCTCCCTGCCCCGCCTCTCCGATCCCATCACCCTAGTCCCAACCTTCCCCCCCCCCAACTGCGCCCCGCCTCCCCGATCCTGACCCGCTTCCGCTCCCTGACTCCCCCACGCACCGACTCCACTCCCTCTTCACTCCTGCCGCTCCACTCCCGCTTCCGCTGCCCTCCCGATTCTGCACCTCCCTACCCCCGTGAACCCCCTCCCCCTGCGCGCACGTGCGCGTGACCACTCCGTTCCCCCCTGCCTGATCTCGAATTCCCTCCCCTTCCCCAGCTGTCCCCAATCCCGATTCCCCCGCTTCTCCCCCAACTCCCCTCTGACCTTCCCCCGCCTTCACCCCCTGATCCC